GCAGAGCAGGGGGCGCGGCGGTGGGCGGGCAGGTGGGGGTGCGGCCACGGCCCCACGCCCGCCTGGGGGAGCCGTGGTCGGGTTGTGCACTCACGCGGTCCAAGCAAACCTTCCTCCTTTGTGCCGGGACTTGTGGGCCCCGGGGACACGGGTCAGAGCGGCCCCTGCCTGCGACACCAGCGTTCGGGGGAGTTTGAAGGGTCTGTCCGGTTTTGCAGTCCCCCAGCTGCGGACCTCAGGCGACACGTGACCCGACGGGGCCTCAGTTTGCTCCTCCGTGAACCGGGCATGATGATGGTAGTGGGGCCGGTCCCACTGACCTGGGCCCCACGTGCCGGTTGAGAGAAGTGGGCGTGAGGGGGTGAGTGCCTCGCTCCGGTCCCTCACTCGGGTCCAGGGCAGAGCCGGTGGGAGCCCAGGCGTCCTGTCTCCCTGGTGCCCTGTGGCCGGCTGGGGCTGGTGATTCCGGGACTGCCTGCCGTGCTCGCCGCTCCCTCCCTGCGGCCACCCCGTGACAGGAAAGATCTGGGCCCGGCCATAGCGGGCGGCCCAGCGCGTGGCCCCGCGTGGCCCCGCATGGCCCCGCGTGGCCCCGCATGGCCCTGCTGTCCTGGGTGAGGGAGGCTGTGTGCTCCGCGTGCTGGGGCCAGAGTCGGCTGCTTCCCCCGCGCCCGCCTCCCGCACCCCTGAGACATCCAGTCTGGCCGCCCACTTCTAGCAGAGAGGCAGGGGCTCCGGCACAGGAGGGGCCTCCGTCCGTGGCCCCCACGCCCCCACTGCCCCAGCCTCACCAGCAAGCTCAGCTCTGGGCCGGTTGCTGCCTGATGTGGCCATCCCTAGGCTCCCTATTCCTTACGGGTAGGAGCCACCACCCCTGCCTGGCCCGGGAGACCTCAGAGCCCCGCCAAGCCTCCGTGTGGCCCCGCCTGCCCAGCAAGGGGACCCCCTACAGGCCAGGGTTTGGGGAGACTGTTGGACAGCAGGGCCTGGCCCCCGGGGGTGGGGGGCAGGACAAGCAAGTCCAGGTTCTGAGGCCACAGGGTCATCCTCCCGTCTCAGGGCTCAGCCTGACAGAGGCCCAGGAGCTTGGCCGGAGCCCCTGGCCATTCATTTCCCCTCACCTTTCCTAGGTGTTCCCTGTAGGCCAGGTGCTGAGCCCTCCGGGCTCCCCCAGGGCGTCTCCCAGGGGACGGGTCAGCCATTTGACCTGGGGCCTGGACCCTTCCTGCCTCCCTGTCAAGGCGCACAGGACCCATGCCTTCACTCTGTGAGCCCCATCCTGGAGGAGGGGTCTGGGCTCTCCTCACCTGTCTGGACCATATCAGGCTTTTCTGAGCTGTTAAGTCCAGCACTGGTCAGGACAGAATGGGGCCCCTAGGAGCCTCACAGTGCCAGACACCTGGGGAGGCGGCAGGGGGTGGCAGGGACATGGGGGGGCATGCGGACAGCCTCTGAGAAGGGCTGCAGCCTCGTGAGCACCTGCTTGTCCAGGGTCCCACAGTGACTGCCTTGTCTCAGCCTCACCCCCATTTTATAGGGGAGGGAACAAAGGTTCAGAGAGGCCTAGGGACTTGTTCATAGTCACACAGCTGGTTAGTGGCCGAGCTGGAGTTCAGATCTGCTGCCTCCAAAGCCCCACTCTGTCCTCTGTGCCCAGAGATGGGCAGCCAGGAGGCTGTGGTGGCCAGAGTTGTTTAGAAGGGTGGGGGAACAGAGTGGTGGAGATGGGGAGAGCTCACCCCCTTTGTCCCTCTGCAGCAGATGCTTGTTCATTGAACGGTGATGTAAGACAGGATCCCATGCATGGGAAACTGCCTCATTGTAACATTTCTCAAAGAATATTCCAGGGAGGACTTATTCCAAGGGATGCTAATAAGTATTCTGTGAAAAAAGATGCCCCTGTTGAAGAAGTTTGGCAACAGGGGTTAACAAAATGGAACACAGACTTGTTTACTGCAGGACTTCTCAGAGCCTTCAGAGCTAAAATGCACTGCGAATCCCTAAAACTACACAGATGGCATTTTCCAAAATTAAGGAGTAAGAGCAGGGGCTTTGGGTCAAACCGGGTTCTGACCCTAGCTCTTGGAGCCTCAGTTGCTCCAACCGTAAATGGGGATAGTTACACCTACCTTAGAGGTAAGACGATCAAATGGGATACTGCAGGTAGGATGCTCCATACAGGAGCTTGGTATGTGTCCTTTGCTGCCCTCCAGCCCCACAGCCACCCGCAGGGCAGCCTCACTCTGAGGGCCTCCGGCAGGCCCCGGTTTGTTGGTGTCCTCTTTGTGACAGACCCAGATCTGAGTCTGGGAGCTCAGCTGGGTCTGCACTGGGTGTCACAAGACAAGTTCCCCGCCTGCCCCGTTTTGCACCCCTGATTCTGTTCACGCTGTCTGAGGTCACCAGCCCTTTATGAGCAGGTGTGTCGTCCTGTCGGCTCACGGGAAGCTTGTGGTCACCTGCAACCCCCAGACCTTCCACAGTATTGTGCACCAGGGCGTGCTGTCCAGGCCTGCAGCAGAGGAGGGCTGGGCTCCCTGGGGATCGTTTGTCCAGTTGAAACACCCACGCTGACCTCAGGCCATTGGCAGACACTGTTGAGTGGGTCAGCCAGTTACGACGCTGCCTCCCTCCAAAACCTCCAGTGTCTGCTTTGCCTTCATGCTTCTTGGGGGCAGAGGTGTTCCACATGCTAAGGGGCATGCATGGAGCTGCCCCCAGCCCTAACTCTGGATATGGGGGGCCAGTTGTCGGGACAGGTCTTAGCAGAAACTCGGGGGCTTCTCACCCTCCAGAGCCACTTTGCTGGGACCTACTGCCAAATCCACCTGTCTGTCATCTAGGAAAGACTTGTTCTTTTAATCTGACTTTCTCATTTTCCGCTACTTTAAAAATGAGATAATGTATTGAAAATACTTAGCGAGTGCCCAAGATTCATTCATTCAGCAGGTATTTCTTGAGTGCCCGTCGTGTGTCAGGTATGGATGGGTTGCTGGGCTGTTGGAGGGAGCCCACACGGACACGGCCTGCGTGGAGCTTGGGTCTGGTCGAGGAGAGTGACGGTAGTCAAACCATCATCCTGAAGAATACGCAGATCAGCAGAGGGGCTGCTGGGAAGGACAAGTTCATGGTGCTTTGGGATCGTCGTCTGGAAGGAAGGCTCCCCGGAAGACGTGCTGGAGGGTTGAGCGCTGCAGAGAGGGGAGGATGTAACTGGGCAAAGATGAGAGGAAGGGTATTCCAGGCTGAGGGCACAGCATCTGCAAAGGCCCTGCGGTAGGGACACTCAGGGGATTCTGAGAGCCAGCCAGAGTGGTCGGAACCAGGGAGTGGGGACAAGAGAGGCGGTCAGCATGTGGGTCAGGACTGGGACTTGGTCCCCTCCCTATGGATGGGAAGACCCGCTTACTGCTTTAAGCAAGGGCACAGTGTGATTGGGCGGCAGGTGGCCGCGAGGCTGTAGGTGGGCAGGGTACGTGGGGACACCGCAGAGTGACCTCCACTGCCGGCCACACAGGAGGTGCTCGTCCCTCGGCCTGGGCGGTGGCCTTGGAGGCGGATGCGGGGAAGCGGGAGGGGACAGAATGGGTTGCCGTGGGGGAGGAGGCGGCGCACAGGGGCCCCCAGGGCTCCGGCCCGTGCGCGGAGGTGGACGGGGCCCACGGGAGCACTGCTGTCTCCCCCGTTGCTGACCTTGGGTCTCAAAGTGCAATTCGTCCCTGTTATCAGGGCCTACAGTGCCCTTTTGAAGTCTGTGTTTTGTCCATTCCAGTTGAATATTTTTCTTGGTGGAATCACTGGAAGCCAGCTCATAACTAGGCAGGACAGGCTTCTGCTATCTCCGCCTGCCGGGAACCTGACGCCTGCCCCGGTCGTGGGCTGGCCTCTTTCTTGTTCTGAGGGAGCTCTCAGGGAGAAGCTAGCTTTCCCCTCCCCTTTCCCTGCACCTCGGTGCACCTGCAGTCTTTGGGGTGGCCTTCTGTCCCAGGACTGAGTGGGGGGCTCCTGTGTAGCCATGGGGCCTCAGAGACACGTGCACACCTGCCCCATGGGCTAGCAGGGCAGTGGGGAGACCCCTGCCCCCACCCCCTCTGTAGGCCCTGCCCAGGTCTCCTGCCTCGTGGGAGGGCTCTCTCCTGGGGTGCTGGTCTTGGCGTCCCTGGGGCAGGAGGAGGCTGCAGGGCTGTCTCAGCTCAAGACAGTGGGCAAACTAGGGCGCTGGGACGGGCCGAGAAGCCAGTATTTGAGCTGTGAGCCAGGGAAGCCGATCCCAAGCTGGTGCTCAGGAGCAGCCTGGGCCTGGGAAGGTGTTATGTGCAGACTACGCTGTTGCCGGCTGGGGACGCGTGGATGCACTGAGTGTGCAGCCTGCATGTGAATGTGGGTGTGCACGCCTCTGGGCGGGTCAGAGGTGGCTGTCTCCACCCTCCCTCCAGGGTGACAGCCCAACCCCATCTCTCGGACAGGTGGCCGGCCTGTTTCACCACCCCAGCATCGGGAACCCCATCCACATCACCATCGTGCGCCTGGTCCTGCTGGAGGATGAGGAGGTGAGAGGTCACGTGGCCTCACGCTGGCCCCTGCCCTGAGCTGCCCCGTGTGGAAGGGCACCGCGAGCCTGCTTCCCTGGGCAGTGCCCCCTTCGCCCCTGGCCGGCCCTCTCTCCGCTCCCCCCGGGATGTACCTGCGGGAGAGGTGGTCAGACTGGAGCTGGACCAGGGCCCACAGGCTGGCTGTTCTCCCGCTGCCCTCCCGGGCCTCTGTGTCCTGTGTCCGTATGGGGGAGGATGGGGCCTGACCCTTCGGGGCTCGGGGGAGGCGCCAGCGGCTACTCTGTCTGCCCCAGGAAGACCTGAAGATCACACACCATGCAGACAACACTCTGAGGAGCTTCTGCAAGTGGCAGAAGAGCATCAACATGAAGGGGGACGCCCACCCGCTGCACCACGACACCGCCATCCTGCTCACCAGGTGCCGCTGGCGGTGGGGGGTGCAAGGCTGAGGCTCGGGGGGCTGCTCCGGGGCCTCAGGGTGGGGGCTGGGGACGGGATTCCGTCAGCGCTTGGGGAGAGCTTTCTATACTGAAATGATCAAGGGTTCTAGAACGGTCAGAGACAGCAGGGACACCATACACTTGTGTCCTTTCCCCCGGTGCCCACGCCCGATTCCCCCCCCCCGGTGCTCACGCCCGCTCCCGCTTCCCCCCGGTGCTCACGCCCGCACCCGCTTTCCCTGGTGCCTCATAGAGCGCGAGCCCACGACCTGGACACGGACCCTGGTCCAGTCCAGACCCGCTCACACTTGCCCCGCTTTACCCCAGCTGGTATTTGTGTGTGCGTGTGCTTTACGCACTTTTATCACACGTGTGAGTTCCCATGTCCACCCCGCGGTCTGGACACGGGGCAGGTGGTTAGAAGGAGCCCCCGTGCCCACGTTGGACAGCCCGAGGCCGCCGCTCGGCCGCCGGCCCCCTCCCCGACCTCGGACAAGCGCAGGTCTATGGGAGGCGGTCAGTGGCCCTTCTCCCTCTGCCGGGCCCCGGCAGCGCCTCTCGGCACCCTCCCTGGGACAGGAACCGAAATGCTGCTCGGGGCTCCCCCCTCCACCTGAATGGGTTTCCCGTGTGCGTGAGGGCCCTGCCCCGCCCCTCGTGGCCACGGTGCCAGTGGGCTGTCTGGGTGGGAGGGGACGGCCTCCCTCCTCGCTCGCTCTGGGCTCAGCTGGGCCTGGCACCGGGCCAGTTCAGCCTGAGGCCCGCCTCTTTCTGCACGTGCAGGAAGGACCTGTGTGCGGCCATGAACCGGCCCTGCGAGACGCTGGGCCTGTCCCACGTGGCGGGCATGTGCCAGCCACACCGCAGCTGTAACATCAACGAGGACACGGGCCTGCCCCTGGCCTTCACCGTGGCCCATGAGCTTGGACACAGGTACTCCTGCTGCTGCCGCTCCAACAGCCCAGCTTCCCCTCTCCGCTGGGGGCACCGGGTCCCAGCGAAGGGAGTTTGCCCTGGCCTGGCCACACGCTGTCCCTGCACTGTCCCCACAGCCAGGCTGCTCTCCTGTCCAGTGGGGAGAGGCCCACCTGGGTACCCCTGGGGCTGGCCGGGGAGAGTCTTGTGTGAAATGGGGTTGACGTGGCCAGAAGGTCAGCACGGGTCTTGAGCGGTCCCTCCACAGCGCTCTCCGTGCTTGCATTTTGACTCTTGGTCCCGCCACACCCGTATTCCCGATTGCTCTGTGACCCCAGGCAAGTGCCCTGCCCTCTCTGGACCTCTGTGTGCTCCCTGTTGGTCGAGGGGGTTGGATTCAGTGATGCTCACGGCTCGCTCCAGCTGGCCCGCCTGCATGAGGCTCCAGGCTGTTCGGCTGGCCGATGGGGCAGCACCTCAGCCCTCCAGGCTCTGATGAGGGTGGCCCACAGCTGGGTCTGCCACTCCGAGGTTTGGGGGGTCATGGTTTACGTGCTCTGGGCTCCTTGAGTGACAGCCACGCAGGCAGGGTCTCGAAGCTGCCCATGGTGGTAGAGCGAGCAAGCTGCCCCGAATCTGCCGTTCCCTGGCTGTGTCCCCTCGGCCAGTTCCTGAGCCTCTCTGAGCCCCCCTGGGCAGTTCTGAGGACTGAGCAAGATAGGGTTTCTGGAAGGCCATAGCACGGCACTTGGCACATTGTAAGTGCCAAGCAAACAGAATTTTTCTCGTCTCCTTCCCGAGGATGGCATCTCGAGAACTTTTCTGTGATAGGGCGGCTCAGACGCCCTTCACTCCGGTGCACAGCCTTGGGCCCAGGACCCATGTCAGACCGTGCTGGGTGCCAGGGAGGGAGCAGGGGCTGCTGGCCCCGCCGTGCCCCCTGGCCGGCCCCTGCAGGTGCCCACGAGGCTCAGGCAGGTGCCCTGGGAGGAGGACTCAGGGAGCACAGCAGTCGCACCCACATGTTAGGGAGGTGGAGGCTCCTGGAGGGGTTGACCTGCCTGAGGCCACACAGTGGTTTGGTGGACTCGTGCTGTGCAGGCCGGCGGGAAGGGGTGCGCTGGCGGCATCCCGCGGCTCACCCGCCCCTGCGGCCTGTGTTCTCACACAGCTTTGGCATTCAGCATGACGGAAGCGGCAATGACTGCGAGCCCATTGGGAAACGGCCTTTCATCATGTCTCCACAGCTCCTGTACGACACCGCCCCCCTCACCTGGTCCCGCTGCAGCCGCGAGTACATCACCAGGTTCCTGGAGTAAGCCCTACCCTGGGTGGGAGGGGGGCTGCTGGAGTGGCATTCAGGTGCCAGATGGAGGGAAGCACGGAGGGCAGCAGGTGGAGCTTGGGGCCAGCAGGTGGATTTGGGGGCCAGCAGGTGGATCTGGGGACCAGCAGGTGAAGCTGGGGGCCAGCAGGTAGAGGGAAGCACGGAAGGTAGCAGATGGAGCTGGGAGCAGGTCCCCCTGGGCTGGAGGAGAGGCCATCTGAGCTGTGTCTCTGAGAGCCAGTAAGTGCTGACACGCAGAAGGGAGAGGAGTGGTGTTCCCATAGAGTAGCGGGGGCTGAGACACAAGGGAGCTGGGGGCTGAGACACAAGGGAGCTGAGGGCTGTCGGGAAGGCGGGCACTGAGTGAGGCCTCAGGGATTATGGGTCCAGGATGGGGATGCAAACCTTGGGTTTGGGATGGGAAGGAAACCAGACAGGGCACAGGACTGGCCACATGGCCAGCAGAGTCCAGGGAAAACATGCCATTGAAGGTACCAAAACTTAAGTTTTTCCTTTCTTTCACATCCTCTTAATTTGTTACAGTGTCTTTTATTTGCTATCTAATGTTCTACGCAAAGAAAAATTTAAATTATTAGCACACGTTTTACCGTTGGCCTTTATCTTGTTCAGCGTCCCTATAAATGCAGCTGTAAGAGCACTGAACTCCTATGTGAGTCACTGAAATGCCACAATGCGTATTTCATAGCTGTTTACCAGAACAGTGGAAACCTGCACAAGGGTAACTTGCTGGGATTTATTTCCCTTCTTAACATGTGTGCATTCTGCCCACACTCCCCACCTTCGGCTTGCTAGCCAGTAAGCAAAGTCTGAAGGGAGAAGGGTCTGGGGGCCGCCGCACATCCCCTCCTGTCTCCTGTCCCAGTGTAGACTGGGGGCTTTCTAGGCCTGTCCTAACACTGGCCTGTGGGGTCATCCTGCTACCGATTTTAGAGGTGGTGCCTCTTTGTTTTGGTGGAGCACATTCTCAAGTAGCTTTCTGAGAAAAGGTGTGTGGAGGGGAGGGGTTTGCTTGTTCAAAAGCGTCTTTATTCTACCCTCACACCTGATTGGTAGTTGGATTTAATAATCAACTTCGAGCCGGAAGTCATTCTCCCTCAGCGTTTCAAAGGCTTTTTCCCATTGTCCTCTAGCTCCTAACATTGCCGCCGAGAAGTCCCATTCCAGTCTCATTCCCAGGCCTCTGTCTCTGGCCTCCTAAAACATCTGGAAGCTTTTCTTTCTCTTTTTCTCTCTCTTTTGGTGATTGGAAATTTTGCAATCATGTGCCTTGATCTGTTTTTATTTTGGAGGGTAGTTGGTGGACGCTTTTCTTTTTTTGTTTTACTTTAATTCCAGTATAGTTGACGTGCAGTGTAATATTAATTTCAGGTGTACAGTTCAGTGATTCGACACTTCCATACACCACCTGGTGGTCATCACCTGTCTCCCCCATCCCCCCCCCACCTCCATTCTGGGAACCAGTAGGGTCACCCGTGTCTGGTTTGCCTCCCTCTCTTTCTCCCCCCCTTTGTTCATCTGTTTTGTTTCTTAAATTCCACATATGAGTGAAGTCATACGGTATTTGTCTTTCTCTGACTGACTTATTTCGCTGAGCATAATACCCTCTAATCCCATCCATGTCATTGCAAATGGCAAGATTTCATTCTTTTTGATGTCTGAATAATATTCGATTGTATATACACCACATCTTTATCCATTCATCTATCGATGGGCACTTGGGCTGCTTCCATATCTTGGCCATTGTAGATAATGCAATAAACATAGGGGTGCATGTACCCCTTCATATTAGTATTTTTGTATGCTTTGGCTAAATACCTAGTAGTGCATTTGCTGGATCATAGGGTAGCTCTATATTTAACTTTTTAAGGAACCTCCATACTGTTTTCCAGAGTGGCTGCACCAGTTTGCATTCCCATCAGTAGTGCAATAGGGTTCCCCTTTCTCCACATCCTTGCCAACATCCGTTGTTTCCTGACTTGTTAATTTTAGCCATCATGACAGGTGTGAGATGATCTCTCATTGTAGTTGTGAATTGCATTTCTCTAATGATGAGTGATGTTGAGCATCTTTTCATGTGTCTGTTGGCCATCTTGAAGTCTTCTTTGGAGAAATGTTTGTTCCTGTCTTCTGCCCATTTTTAGCTGGATTATTTGTTTTGGGTGTTGGGTTGTATCAGTTCTTTATGTATCTTGGATACTAACCCTTAATTGGATGTGTTGTTTGTAAATATCTTCTCCCATTCCGTAGGTCGCCTTTTAATTTTGTTGATTATTTCCTTCATGGTGCAGAAACTTTATATTTTGATGTAGTCCCAATAGTTTATTATTTTTGCTTTTGTTTCCCTTACCTCAGGAGACATATCTACAAAAAAGTTGCTGAGGCCGATGTGAGAGAAATTACTGCCTATGTTCTCTTCTAGGATTTTTATGGTTTCATGTGTCATGTTTAGGTCCTTAATCCATTTTCAGTTTATTTTTGTGTATGGTGTAAGAAAGTGGTCCAGTTTCAATCTTCTGCATATGGCTGTCCCATTTTCCCAGCACTATTTATTAAAGATACTGTCTTTTTTCCATTGCATATTCTTACCTCCTTTGTCAAAGATTAATTGGCCATATAATTGTGGGTTTGTCTCTGGGCTTTTTGTCCTGTTCCATTGATCTATGTGTCAGTTTTTGTGCCAGAAACATAGTGTTTTGATTCCTACAGCTTTGTAGTATATCATGAAGTCCGGAATTGTGATGCCTCCAGCTTTGCTTTTCTCTTTCAAGCTTGCTTTGGCTGTTGGGGGACTTTTGTGGTTCCATGCAAATTGTTTTTTCTAACTCTGTGAAAAATCCTGTTGGTGTTTTGATCAGGATTGCATTAAATCTGTAGATTGCTTTAGGTAGTATGGACATTTCAGTAATTTTTGTTCTTCTAATCCATGAGTATGGAGTGTTTTTCCATTTCTTTGTGTCATCTTCAATTTTCTTCATCAATATTTTATAGTTTTCGGAGTGCAGATCTTTTTCCTCTTTGGTTAAGTTTATTCCTAGGTACTTTATTATCTTTGGTATGACTGTAAATGGGATTGTTTTCTTAGTTTCTCTTTTGCTGCTTCACTATTAGTGTATAGAGATGCAATGGATTTCTGTATGTTGAGTTTATATCCTGAGATTTAGTTTTTTGGAGGAATCTTGAGGGTTTTCTATATATAGTATCACATCATCTGCAAATAATGACAGTTTTACTTCTTCCTTGCCTATTTGGATGCCTCTTATTTATTCATTTTTCTTGTCTGATTGCTGTGGCTAGGACTTTCAATACTATGTTTTGTAAAAGTGTCAAGAACAGACATTTTGGGGCACCTGGGTGGCTCAGTTGGTTAAACGACTGCCTTCAGCTCAGGTCATGATCCCGGAGTCCCGGGATTGAGTCCCGCGTCGGGCTCCCTGCTCGGCATGGAGTCTGCTGCTCTGACTGTAACCCCTCTTGTGCTCACTCTGTCTCTCTCTCTCTCAAATAAATAAATACAATAATAAAAAAAAAAAGAATGGACATTTTTGTCTTCCTGATCTTAGAGGAAAAGCTCTCAGTGTTTTTTCATTGAGCATGATGTTGGCTGTGGATTTTTCATATGTGGTATTATGTTGAGGTATCTTCCCTCTAATCTGAATCCACTTTGTTGAGGGTTTTTATCATGAATGGATGTTGTACTTTGTCAAATGGTTTTTCTGTGTCTTTTGAAAGGATCATATGGTTTTTATGTTTTCTCTTATTCATATGATATATTGCATTGATTTTGTGAGCCTTGTAACCCAGGAATAAACCCCACTTGATTATGGTGAATGATTTTTTAAATGTATTGTTGGATCCAGATTGATGGTATTTTATTGAGAATTTTTACATCTATGTTCATGAGGGATATTGGCCTATAATTCTCTTTTTTAGTGGGGTCTTTGTCTGGTTTGGTATCAGGGTAATGCTGGCCTCATAGAATGAATTTGGAAGTTTCCTTCTTTTCTATTTTTTGGAATAGTTTGAGAAGAATAGTTGTTAACCCTTCTTTAAATGTTTGGCAGAATTCACCTGTGAAGTCATCTGATCCTGGACTTTTGTTTGTTGGGAGTTTTTGATTATTGATTCAGTTTCATTGCTGGTGATTGGTCTGTTTAAGTTTTCTATTACTTTCTGATTTCTTTTTGGGAAGTTATATATTTCTAGGAATTTATCCATCTCTTCCGTGTTGTTCAGTGTGTTGATATACAGTTTTCCATAATTATAATCCTTTGTATTTCTGTGGTATCAGTTATTTCTCATCTTTCATCTCTGATTTTGTTTGAGTCCTTTCTCTACTCTCTCTCTCTCTCTCTCATTGTTTTGATGAGTCCAGCTAAAGATTTATCAATTTTGTTGATCTTTTCAAAGAACTAGCTCCTGGTTTCAGTGATCTGTTTTTTTTAGTTTCTATTTCATTTATTTCTGTTCTGATCATTATTCTTTCCTTCCTTCTGCTAGTTTGGGATTTTGTTTGTTCTTTTTCTGGCTCCTTCACATATAAGGTGGTTAGGTTGTCTCTTTGAGATTTTTTCTTGCTTCTTTAGACCTGGTGGATTCTTTTTCTCCAAAAACTCCTGTTCTTCCTGAACATGTTCTTGTGTCATTCGATAATTTCTATTTTTCCTTCTGAAACTCTCAACATTCAGCTGTTCTCTCACGTTCTTAGTTTTGTTTTGTTTTTTTTTTTTTACTGGCTTTTATCTCTATTTTCTGGATGACATCCTTATGTTCACCCTTCTATTAAGTTTTTTCTACTATACTTTTAACTTCCTGAACTTCCTTATTCACTAAATACTCCTTTTTATTATCACGTTTCCACAGTCGTGGTTTTCTCTCTTCTCTTCCTCAGGTTATTCCTTATATGGGTTAAACTTTTATGTTCTCTCCCTGCAATATCTTTTTTTCCTTAATTTACTTTTATTTATATTTTAAGATTTTATTTATTTATTTGAGTGCGGGAGAGAGAGCATGAGCAGGTGGAGGGGCAGAGGCAGAGGGAGAAGCAGGCCCCCCGCTGAGCAGGGAGCCCAACGTGGGGTTCCATCCCAGGCCCCCGGGATCATGACCCAAGCTGGAGGCAAGGTGCTTAACCGACTGAGCCACCCAGGGACCCGTTCAAGAGGTTTTTTGAGGATTATTATTTTTTAAAGATTTTTATTTAAGAGAGAGACAGAGTGAGAGAGAGAGCACAAGTGGGGGAGAGGGGCAGAGAGAGAGGGAGAAGCAGACTCCCCACTGAGTGGGGAGCCCTGATTTGGGGCTCGATCCCAGGACCCTGGGATCATGACCTGAGCCAAAGGCAGATGCTGAACCGACTGAGCCCCCCAGGCGGCCCCTTTCCTTAAAGGTTTTAAACCAGTTCGGCTTCCCTTCATGCGCAGGAGGCAGCGCTGGGACACCAGTTGGGAGGCCTGTGGCTTGGGCAGGTTTTTTGGAGTCTGTGCCAGGGGAGTGGCTGGGACCGGGCTGTGTCTTTGGACACGCTATCTATCTTCAGCTACCAGCACCTAGGGTCCTTTCTGGAGTGTTCTGTTTCCCCAGAGATACTCTCATCTTGCCCTGGGAGGGAAGCTTGGCACCCAGGTGGGGAAGGGGCTTGGGGGCTTCCCACCCTTCCCTGTGTAGGCTTATATTTGTCCCCTTCTCTGTAGGCCCCTCTGTAGGTGTCCCTAGGCCAGGTCCCCCGGTTCACCCTCTTCGGAGAGTGACCCCTGGCTCTCCGTAGGCAGGGAGGTGGCCATCACCTGGCCACACAGGGTTGGGGAGCAGAGGTGGGGTCTGATGTCTCCTGTCCTCTTGGCACCCTGGCCTCCATGGCTCCCTGGGCCCTAAGCCTGAGCCTTTCTAGGGTTCTGCTTCTGGGTGTTTTCTCCCTGTAGGACTTGGCTTTCAACTCTTACTGCCCCACTAGCTCAGCTACCAATTGACCATCTGCTTTCCAGCTTCCAGAATTTTGCTGACGTTTGTCATCTGTCCTCATCACCTCCCCCTTTCCCTGTGTCCTTGTTTATTCTTCTGTCATCCTAGTGGGGTTCTGGGAGGGCGTGGAGCTCGGTCTGCCATGTTTTTCTAGAAGTCCCTCACTGTGGGTTTAAGTGGGGACATGAGCATGTCCCCTGCGGGTGTGAGCAGGGACTCTGGCCTCTGATGGTGGAGGGACGGCTGGGGGGCGGAGGGCAGAGGCAGAGAGGAGTTGTGGGTGATGGTTAGGGCCTGGACTCTGGCCCTGGCTTTTGCCCGTGTTGGCAGACACGTTCCATGGGGCTCCTGATGGGCCTGCCTCCCGGGTGGCTGTGAGTGTCCAGCCATTGCCAACCAGATGGTTCGCATTCAGTGCTGAGTGCCTGTTATCACTACTTCTAAGCGGCGGATGAGATGGATCTGAACCAGCAGTAGCCTGGGCAAGTAGAACAGGCCTGGAAAAATCCCAAGGGCGTGTCCCCTACCCCAGATGGGGGCAGAGAAGAAGGGAATTGGGGGGAAGATGAGCCACCCCGCATCACCCCCAGGGCCTGTTCGCAGCTGTCCCCACCCAGGGAGCCACCCAGCACCCTGCCTCCAGGACACACACACACACACACAGTCTCTGTGCTCTTGCAGCCGCTGGAATGCATGAGGGCCTTGGCTCGGGGCCTGGGGCGAGGGCGGGAAGATCAGACCAGAGTCTGAGCCGGCTGGGGGGGGGGGTTGTCACCGACAGGGGTCGTGTGAGGGCAAAGGCCAGAGAGAGGCAGGCCTGCAGCGGAGGGTGCTCTGGGGCCCAGGAAAGGGGGAAGGAGAGGGGGGCCTCAGGTGGGAGGTGTGGTGCCAGTCTGTCCTATAGCCCCTCGCCCTCCATCTCCCTGCTGGGGGTAGGACGGGCTCCACCCAAACAGGGTCGGGACAGAATGACCAGGATGCAGGGACGGTGCCCAGTGGGGTCAGGTGTTCCCTGGGCTTGGGGGAGGCTCAGAGGCATGCACAGGCCACCTGGCTTTCCCTACGGGACCGGAGGCTCCTGGGCCCCTGCAGAGAGCTCTGGGTGGGGGTCAGCAGTGTGAGGAACCTGGCGGAGAGCCGGGCCAGAGGAAGGAAGGGCTGCCTGCTGCTGCCTGTGTGACTTTCCCGAGGAGATGCTGCTTGGGATGCCTCCACAGCTTGGGATCCCGCAGGCAGCCTCAGCCTCCGGTGACGAGGTCCCCCAGGGAGCGGGAGGGAGGGCCCCAGGCCACCTGGCAGAGAGTAGAACGTGGGGTGCTGACTCCCCATCAGCACTTGGGCCTGAATATGGCCCTGATTCTGGTGGCGGGTCCTGCGCGGGTCCCCCAGTGCCCCTGACCTCTCACGCGCATGTAGGCTGGATCAGATAGGCTGGTGTCCCTCCAGCTGCCCGCCCACAGGATGTGACACATGGCAAGTTTCAGCCAGCTGACAAAGGCCAGAAGTGGCCCTGGGGCTGCTGGGGTGGCACGGAGGCCTGTCGGACTCAGAGCTGGAGGAGCCCCCAGCCTGGTCTGAGTCCGAGGGTGGGCGAGCCCTTCTACCCCTGTCTTGAATTGCAGGAAAGAAGGAGCCCCAGGGCCAGGCTGACCCTGCCCCCCACCCTCCCCCCCAGCTAACACTTTGCCCCACGGGCCAGGCCAGCGGTCAGAACGCGTCTTTCTCTCTGCCAGGGCTCAGCTGCCATGGTTTTGAACTTACATTCGGGTGAAGTATTTGAGGTCAGGCTTATGGGTGGAGGGGAGGAGTCCTGCACTGGGGCCGCCCAGCAAGTGCGTATGCGTGGCCACTGGCTGCTGGGGCCTGGCATCAGATCCTGACCTCTGGTGCCTGGGTGTGACCCAGGGCGAGTGACGCTCTGCCTTGGGCCCTGCGTGTGTACGGAGAGGGAATGGGTGTTTGAGGAGCAACCGGGGACCTGGCCTATGATCACTCGGGGGCAGAGGGCTGGGTCCCATAGCTGCTTGTTTGCCAACACCCATTTTAGAGGGTCTGGTTTCCACTAGCATATGCAGTCCAGGTGCTCTGGGGGGAGGGGTCCCCAGGGCCCTCAGCAGGAGTCTAGTCTCAGGGGCTGTGTTCCCTGAGCTCTGGGTGGTGCTGGGGGCCTCAGGAAGCCCCACAGACACCCATGCTGCCCTGGGCCCCACAGCTCCCCTCTGAAATCGGAACCCCAGGATCCCAGAGGCTGACGCCTGCACTGGCCCATGTGCTGGCCTGCTCCCATTTTCTCCCAGCCTGTCCCCGTCCTGTGGCGTCTCCTCTGCGCCTCCCTGTCAGACCCCAGCACCCATCGCCTCTGCCCTTCTGACCCTATCAGGACCCTCTACTCATCTGGCCCCCCCACCTGCTACCAGCCACCCTCAAGCACCCCAGACTGGAAAACTGGAGGGTTTCTGCCCCCCCCTACCCTGCCTGGCTGGGTGTCCTTGCTGCCCGGGCCAACTACCCGTCGCCCCAGCCTCAGCTCTCTCCAGTTCCTGCTGCCCTGAGGAAGGTCCCCGGACACCTTCTCCGACTCCTGCAGGACAGCAGTGAGCCCTGGGCTGCTTGGTCAACATGTGGGGCCTGGCCAGGGCAGTGGGATGGACACGGGCCCCCAGAGGCAGTAGCTGTGCATGAGGGGCCCGTGGAGAGACACGCTGGTAGCAGTGGGCCCACGCGGGGCCTGGGACGCCCTCCGCTGGGCCCGTCTGCGTCCGCGCTCCCAGCACTGCCTGGTCGGTCTGGCGGAGGGCAGGCAGGGCTGTCCCCGGCCCTCCTGGGCTCTTGTCCCCCACAGAGACCCTAGATCTCAGCCCGGGGTGGGGCCCACAGAGGCTGGCTGATGTGAGGTGATGCTCTCCAGGTCCCTGAGTGAGGTGGCGCCGGCCCCATGCCGGGTGGAGGCTGCGGGAACTCGGGGCAGGGCCAGGGGCCCGCTGGGCGGTAGGGGAGGCTTCCGTCTCCAGGAGAGTTTTGGCGGTGGAGTGTGCAGAGCATTGCAGGTGGAGGGAGCGGCTTGTGCAGATGCGTGACCCTGGGGAGGGGCATTGTTTGGCCGGCCAGAGTGCCTGGAGGTGAAGGGGACAAGCGGGAGCGCCCCAAGTGCTAGGTAGGGGGTGGGCTGCGGTCTTCCTGCGGTTTAGTGCTCTGTGCCCTGCCCTGCCCTCCCCTCCGAGGCCGCCCCGGTGGGTCTCTCAGGCTGCCCCGCTTGCCCTGTCCTGTGTGGTCTCTGCAGCCGAGGGTGGGGCCTGTGCTTGGATGACTCTCCCAGCAAGGATGTCATCGACTTCCCCTCCGTGCCGCCCGGGGTCCTCTACGACGTGGGCCACCAGTGCCGTCTCCAATATGGGGCCTACTCTGCCTTCTGTGACGACATGGATGTGAGTGTGGGGTGCGTGTGGGGCGGGGGGCCGCCTCCCCAGCCTGCAGCGCCCGCTGGCCTGCGCTCGTCCCATACGTGGTGCGGGGAGCCACCGTGGCCTGTGGCATCCACTGCGGCCTGGGCGGCCAGAGACCCAGGTCTGGGTTCCGGGTGGACCCTTTGCCGACTCTGGCTCTGGGCGAGCCCCTCACCTCCCAGGGCCGGGTTATAAAAGGCCGGACAAAACCTATGCCGCATGGACCTGGGGGAGAGCGCCCGAAGGGAAGGCCATCGCCCTGTTACGGAGTCCCCAGGCTTGTGGGGGAGGGTGTGTTTTTAGGCAAGTGGGCGGGGCTGGGAGAGGTGTGGGTGGAGCCGGTCTGAGAGTGGGCGGGGCTGGGAGACGGGCGGGGCTTGTAGGAGTGGGCGGGGCTGAGGTGTGGGCGAGCCTGGACACGCTCTGAGCGGCAGGCGCCAGGGCTGGGCACCCCCAGCACCACATGGTTGGGGGAAGATGGGAGGGGCCCGCTGGGAGTCCCATCTGCAACCCCACCCCACCCCACCCCACCCCCACCCCCCAGAGGCCCCGGGGGGGTGGGGGGGTGAGAGTGCGGCCCGTGTCGTCCTCCTTGCAGAATGTGTGCCACACTCTTTGGTGCTCCGTGGGGACCACCTGTCACTCCAAGCTGGACGCAGCTGTGGATGGTACCAGGTGTGGGGAGAGCAAGGTAGGGGCGCCGCAGCCCCTGCTGCAGAGGTGGGTGGGTGGGTGGGTGGGGAGAGGCCTGGCTCCTGTTGTGCCCGCGCTCTGGAGGCTGCCTGTTCAGACCTACTCAGGCTGCTAGCAGAGCCCCAGCCCCTCTGGCCCTCTGCGCATCTGCAGAGCGGACCTGGTGCAGCCGGCCTGTCTGCAGAAAGTCAGCACAGGGGCTCCATTTTATGCCAGGGGGTCTGGGTCTTGGGTGACTAGGAGGGGGCCTCCTGACTCCTCGGTCCCACCGGGGCAGGGATGACTGGTGGGACTGGGTGGCATTTCCACCCCCGTCTGTCTTAGTGGTGTCTGAACGGGGAGTGTGTTTCTGTCGGCTTCCGGCCGGAGGCTGTGGACGGCGGCTGGTCAGGCTGGAGCGCCTGGTCTGTCTGCTCGCGGAGCTGTGGCGTGGGAGTGCAGAGTGCTGAGCGGCAGTGCACACAGCCCGTGTGAGTGTGGGTCTGGGGGCGCCAGGGACGGGTGGGATTGGGCACCACCGTGGAGAGTCTGGCTCTGTCCCGGCCTCTTGTGCTCCGAAGTGTCCCCATAGAGACCATGCCCAGAGTATCCAGGGCCGCCTTGGGTCACTCGGAGGGGCATCCCGGAGGCAGGCGGAGTCCCCGGGGCTGGCCCCACTGCAGAGAGGGGAACAGCAAGGCCCAGCAGCTCAGGAACTGGCTGGAGGGAGGCAGGAGCTTAGACCCTGGACCTTAGGTGGATTAGGGTTCAAATTCCCTCTCCACCCCTCCTCCAGGTCTCAGTTTCCAGGGAAACCGTACTCTGGGGTGACTGCAGGGATCCCCCCAGCAGAGCTAAAGCATGAAAACCCGCAACGAGTCAGTGGAAAGGACTTAGTAAAGACTCGCTTATTGGCACTGGATGCACCTGTGGGTCTGAGACGAGAGGGGACAGCTGTGTGCCCTGGGGCAAGTGACTTCAAGTCTGGGCCTCAGTTTCCCCACTTAAAAAGGGTGATCTGAAGGTTCAGGAGATGCTGAGCCAGAGGCAGTGCAGACCGAGGAGTCCCTGGCGCCTTTGGACGAGCCCTCTTTGTGAGGCTGCCCTGGCAGGTGCAGGACTCAGAGCCAGCGCCGTCTAGGCCCTGTGCTCGGCAGTCTGTGGCCTGGGCTGGGTTGGGGGCAGGCACCCTGGCCCACGTGAGGGTGGGGTTCAGGTGCTGTGCTTGCGGGTGCACCTCTCAGCCAGGCCAGGCTGGGGGGCTGCCACCAGGAACGAGCCTGCAGACACGTGGGGTCCTCGGGACCCTGGGTCTCCTGGGCCGGAGACGGGGCTGCCCCTTGGGCGGTGCCAAGGCTCATCACAGGCTCCCAACAGCACTCTGCAGGGGCAGCCCCATCCCCGTTTTACAGGCGAGCAGACTAGAGCCCAGACAGGGCTACGCTGCAGGGTGGGGGCAGAGCCTGCTTCCTGCTGCCACCACCCGTAAGTCCTCACACGCAGGGAGAGGGTCTGCGCCAGAGCCAGAGGGCAGGTGGGCGTTGGAGTCTCCGGTCCGAGGGCCTGCTCCTGGACCCAGCTACGCAGTCGGCGCTCACTGTGCGCTCACTCAGCCCCACCCGGCTCTCCCCACAGGCCCAAGTACAAGGGCAAGTACTGTGTGGGTGAGCGGAGGCGTTTCCGCCTGTGCAACCTGCAGGCCTGCCCCCCCGGCCGCCCCTCCTTCCGCCACGTCCAGTGCAGCCACTTTGACGCTATGCTTTACAAGGGCCAGCTGCATACGTGGGTGCCTGTGGTCAACGATGGTGAGTCCTGCGCCCCTGGGACTCGGCAGCCCCGGGGCGGGGCCTGGGGCCCGAGGTTACCCACCCCAGCCCGGGCCCCCCCCCCGCTCCCAGCGTGCAGCCTGGCGCAGAGCCAGCAGCCCGGGGGCCTCCCTGACTGCCGCCCTGCTTGTCCCTCACGGCTCCCCCGCTTGGGCCCCCAGTGAACCCCTGTGAGCTGCACTGCCGGCCCTCCAACGAGTACTTCGCTGAGAAGCTGCGGGACGCCGTGATCGACGGCACCCCCTGCTACCAGGGCCAGCCTGGCCACGACCTCTGCATCAACGGCATCTGCAAGGTGTGCCTGAGCCGGGGGATGGTCTCCCATGCCGCCCGCCCTGGGCCCCTCCGGGTTCCCCTCCGGCCCCCACCCCTCCCCAGGCTGTACCGCGGGCTTCCCAGCTCTGCCGTCCCGTCAGCAGAGACCCCCGCCCCTCCTGGCACCGGAGCTCCTCACAGGCGGGCCTCACACCCCAGCCTCTGCCCATGGACCTTCTCACCCCCTCCCTGCCCACCATCCAAGCCCCTGAGCCACGGCCCGCACCGCACAGCCCCCACCAGGAAACCAGCGCCCGGGCGTGGCTCAGCGTCCTGCTGCGTGCATGACCCCAGGCCGCCGTTCCCTCTGTCCTGGAAAGGCGGGCCGGTCCTGTGTCCGTGTTGCAGGTTCAGCGAGGTCACTGCGGGGACCGCGGGGCTCAGGCTCTGGCCGAGTGCGTGTGTGTTTGCCGGCAACACGTGCTCTTATTTCTAGCATCAGTGGTGGCCTCTCCTCCCGGCCCGTGTCCCCAGCCACTCTCCCCCGCTTGCAGTCCTGGGGTGTCGGGAAGCAGCAGGGAGGATCCCTTTTCTGGGAGACTCCTGCCACACCCACGCCCCTGCGTGCTGCCCCTCTTCACAAAACTTGCCCTCTTGCGCCTCACAACCCCCCCACCCAGCGTGGCTTTACAGCCAGATGGGCCGCCCCGGTTCCCGCAGGGGTGGGGGAAACATGCTCGGAGAGGCGGAGGGGCCGCCTGAGGTCAGGGGGCACGCCCAGGGGCAGGCCTGCAGCAAGGGCCCACAGCCCGCCCGGAGGCCCCCCCACCCCGCCCTGCCGGACCCCGGCAGCTGGGGCCTGCCTCCCGTGTGTTCCAGAACGTGGGCTGTGATTTCGAGATCGACTCCGGCGCGGTCGAGGATCGCTGTGGCGTGTGCCACGGGAACGGCTCTACTTGCCACACTGTGAGCGGGACCTTCGAGGAGTCTGAGGGCCTGGGTACGGGCTGGGGCCCGGGCGGGGGTGCTCTTAACTTGGTGGCCCCGCCTGGCCCCCGGGGCTCCCGCCCGGGCCACCCGGCCTGGTCCTGGCAGGTGTCGGGGCAGCTGGCCCCAATGCGGAGACGTCACAGGGGCGTCCTCCTGCCCGGGGACCTTGGGTGGGCCGATCGGGGGTGATTATGGGTGGCCCAGGCCTTGCAGAGGGCCACTCCCTTCTTGGGAGGCTTCAGAGGCCCCCAGGTCCACTGCCACACCCGCGGGTCTGTTTCGCATACGTGGCTGGAGTGCTGACCGTGCTAGGTGAGGAGCTCCCAGCCTGACGGGGGGCTGAGAGCACTGCGGAAGGAGGTCCTGACCTGGGGAGGTCCGGTGGCCGGTTAGCTGCGTCCCGAGAGACTCGGGAGAGGTGGGAGGGGCCTTGCGCTGGGCGGGAAGAGGTGGCGGCGCGTCTCTGTCCGGGCACCGTGAGGTGGGGCTGCCAGGACACTCAGCCCCTGGAGCCCAGCCGGGCAAGTGACTTCGTCTCCCTGGGCCTCAGTCTCCCCATCTGTCAGATGGTAAAGTGCGTGGAGTCCGTGAGGGGACAGAGAGGCTGGCCGCGATGTCGGCGTCCCAGGGGAAGGGACCAGGCTGGTGGCATGGACACCAGCCCGGGTCTCCAGGAGAGGGGTGAAGAGGCATGGGTCATGGTGGCAGGATTTGAGGAGCCCTCCTGAGGTTTAGGTGACCTAGGACGGGGGAAGCCTCTACCTTTTGGGGAGCTCAGAATCTTGACCTCGTGGTGGAATCTGCCATCAGCCGCCCGGGGTAGAAGGGGACAGCCAACCCCCTTACCCTCTGCCCCGCCCCTGGCCCACAGGCTACGTGGACGTGGGGCTGATCCCGGCCGGCGCCCGCGAGATCCGCATCGAGGAGGTGGCTGAGGCCGCCAACTTCCTGGCCCTGCGCAGTGAGGACCCCGACAAGTACTTCCTGAACGGGGGCTGGACCATCCAGTGGAACGGGGACTACCAGGTGGCGGGCACCACCTTCACGTACGCGCGCACCGGCAACTGGGAGAACCTCACGTCCCCCGGTCCCACTGACGAGCCTGTCTGGATCCAGGTGCCCGCTTCCCGGGGCTTGGGTTGGGGAGCAGGGGCGGGGCCTCAGGGATCCGGCGGCCCCCCCCCGTCCCACGGCAGGACACAGCCCCGGGGCCTCTGCCCCAGTGCAGCCCCAGGTCCCGGAGGGGGCTGGGTCGGCCCCTTGGGGGATGGCTGCTCTGGGTGGGTGGGTGGAGGGGACATGTGCTCACGGGGCCTCCATCTGCCTGCCCCCTCCAGCTGCTGTTCCAGGAGAGCAACCCCGGGGTGCGCTATGAATACACCATCCACAGGGAGGCGGACGGCCCCGGCCCGGTCGAGCCGCCCGAGTTCTCCTGGAGCTATGGGCCCTGGACCCAGTGCACGGTGACCTGTGGCTCAGGTGAGGGCGGGGCGGGCACAGCCGCTGCGCACCGGGGCCTGTATGTCTGGGCGGCGGTGTCTGGCGCCCTCCTCCAGCTCACTGCTGGTTGGGGAGCCGCCACGAGCTTGGACCCCCGTGGCCCCGGGTCTAGAGTGGGGCTGCCGAGAGCCGTGCCTCTCAGGTCCACGGGCAGGGACGCGGCCAGCACCGTGCCTGGCACACGGGGAGTGCTCGCTGGGTCTCGGTGGCTGGCGTTCTGCCCCCAGAGAGGCGCCAGCTGGCCTCACGCCTGTATCTCGGCTCCTCGCCGGAGAACTGACCCCTTTGTGCTCCCAGAGCTCGACCCGAGGCCCCTGTGGGCATGGGCTCCTTGCTTCCTCCAGCTCGTGCTGCGGACGGGCTGTGGAGCCTCCTCCCTGGGAGGCCCAGAGCCTCCTGCTCAGGGAGGACGGAGACAGGATGGCAGGCTTGTCCCCACCCCACCTCTGAGCCTCTGCGCCCAGTGGCCTGTAGGACACGCATGAGGACTTCACTAACTCTCTGTCAGGCGCCCCCCCCCGCCCCTCAGTGTCCAGGGAGCTTGGCATCAGGAATCTGGGACAGACACCTGAATGTTCCCAAAAATGCTCGTATGATGATAGCATGAAAACCCGCCCCCTGAACCTTGGCAGGAATCTTCAAAAGCTGTTAAAATATCCTGTGCCATATACGCTTTCTAAATTTACAAACGCGAAAGCAAATCTGGACAAACTAGAGGTTCGGGACTTGTCTTTCCACGAGGGGGGGCCCCACAGGTGGATGGGTGAGGGGCGTGCTGAGCTGCGGGTGCGGCTCCTGGCTCGTGCTGGCTGGCGCAGACTGGGGCTGTTGGCCCCCAGCAGTAAGAATCCAAGCTGGCAGGATGGCCCCTAGGGACCCGGGACCTTGCTCCCATCACTGAGTCCCCCTCACACCTGTCGAGGTGGCCCCCTCCTGGCCTCTGTTGGTCCAGGCAGGAAGAAGGAGGGGCCAGGGGCTGACCCCTGGGGGAACTTGTGCCCTCTTTTCCCTAGAGGGACTGTGTCCCAGACCTCCCCCAGTGCACGGACACTACAGTGGGGGGTGTTTTCCCCAGGGCCCGTGGTTACCCCGCACAGAACCCGAATTCTGTTGGCGGGGAGGGAGGAGTGGATAGGAGATGGGAGGCTCAGGCGGAGGAGAGCCACTCTTCGGGGCTGTGAGGGAAGCAGGGGTGAAGGCAGAGCTGGAGATGGGGTTGGGGGTACATGGGGAAGGTGCGGAGCATAGCTGTGCAAAGGCCCAGAGGCAGGCGGTGGCAGGGGGAGGGGAACAGTGATACAGGTAGCCTGGGCTCCGGGGCTGGAGAGGGACGTCAGCTGCGGGGGAGGGGGTCTGACGAGTTTCCCTGCTGCTCCCCTTTTTGAGCATGGACGCTGCTGGGAGGGGTGGCGCGCAGGCTGAGGCTGGATTTGCATGACCCCATGGTGGCCTCACTCCCTGGCGGCTTCGAGGGAGGTATCACTGTTACAGACGAAGACACTGAGGTTCAGAGAGGCCCAGTGAGCTGCCCAAGGCCTCCCAGCTGGGAAGCCAGGGGCTGGCCCCCGTGCCCCGAGCCTGCACACTCTGCTGCTCCAGGGCCAGAGGTGAAGGCCGGGAGGACAGCGAGGAGGGGGCGGGGAGGCCTTGCTCTGGGAGCTTCTAGCAGAGTGGGCGTGGCCTTGTGTTGGGGTGCAGCGCAGCTTGGGCGGGGGCACCCTAGGTGCCAGGCCCAGGCTGAGCCCCCGTGTCCCCCAGGGATGCAGAGGCAGAGTGTGCACTGCACCGAGCGACAGGCGGGGCCCGTGGACGAGAGACACTGTGACCCCCTGGGCCGGCCCGATGACCACCAGAGGAAGTGCAGCGAGGAGCCCTGCCCGGCCCGGTGAGCCCACCCTGATCGCTGCGCCCCCAGGCTCCTGACTCCGGGGCCCACAGAGGGGCAGACGAGCAGGGCAGGGCCTCTCTTTCCAAGGCCGAAGCCCCAGGCCCTGCTTGCCCCCGCCCCAGCCTGGGCCTGAGTCCCCCGCGCCCCGGCAGCCAGCACCAGCCTGGGGCATCTCAGGGCGCGTGTGCTCGGGTTCTCGGATGTGCTCGGGACTTGCCCAGCTGCCCCAGGAGTGAGGCTGGCAGGAACGCGGGGGACTGCGTCCCGTCCCTGGGCTTAGCCCTGACCCCGCCGCGCCCCCAAGTGCCCGCAGTCCGGCCAGCCCGGCGCTGACGCGGCCTGTGTGCCCCGCAGGTGGTGGACAGGGGAGTGGCAGCTGTGCTCTAGCTCCTGTGGGCCTGGGGGCCTCTCCCGCCGTGCCGTGCTCTGCGTCCGCAGCGTGGGGCTGGATGAGCAGAGCGCCCTGGAGCCCCCCGCCTGCGCCCACCTCCCCCGGCCCCCCGCCGAAACCCCTTGCAACCGCGATGTGCCCTGTCCGGCCACCTGGGCCGTGGGGA